ACACACACACACACACACACACACACACACACACACACACACACACACACGTCTCTCCTCACCTTAAAGCGGACCATCTCCTCACCCTCCAGGTATAGCACCAACTCCTTCCAGCTGAATGACGCGCGGGCCCGGAAGGCCTGCAGGGGTCCTTTGGGGGGGTCCGGCAGCAGGGTGTCAGCCGTCTCTTCCAGTGGGGTCTCCATGGCTTCCAGCGACCTGTAGGGAACAGTCCATGGATGAACGGAGTCACCGGTGGACTCCCAGCCATAGATGCCGTGCAGTGTCCTGTTCCCAGAGTCACAGTCTCGGGAGCACCTGGCAGCACGCAGACGTGCGCACCTCCACCCTCAGGGCAGCCGCAGTGCTGGGTAAACACACAGGTTGTCAGGAATTGAAAAAGAGACAGAGAACACATGAAATAAGTTAGGGGTGGAAGGAGGCTTAGCTCAGCCGCTCTGGGGTCCAGTGGGCAGCAGGCAGCGTGGACAAGGCTACAGGGCAGTCAGTGGCCTCGTGCGCGGTGGTGGACGTGGCCTCACCCCCTGTGGTGGGACTGGGTGGTGTGACCACCATGGACACGACCTTGCACACTGCGGTAGGACTGGGGCATTGTGGCTGCCGTGGACGTGGCCTCGCGTATTCTAGTGGGACTAAACAGAGTGGCCACTGTGGACACAGCCTCACGTGTTTTCATGGGACTGTGGGAGTGGCCACCATGGGCATGGCCTCGTGTGTTGTGGTGGGACTGTGGGAGTAGCCACCGTGGACACGGCCTCGTGTGTTGTGGTGGGACTGTGGGAGTGGCAGCCATGGACACGGCCCAGGAGCCCTTGTCACCCAAAGGCAGTCAGCATGCAAGCCAGCAGGTCCACGTCTGCCCAGCACATCCAAGAGGGGTGGGCGGCAGGGTTGAAGCTGCATAACATGGATCATGCACCCGCCTCAGGAGAGGACGCTAGGTGCCACCTGTGTGTGGACGGGGCTGCCCATGCAGGAGCCCCAGCCGGAAGGGAAGGGTCCTGATGATGCCATCACACAGACAAGCCTCCAAAGACGGTGCTGAGCAAAGAGGAAGCTGTGCCCCCAAGACCACATATCACCCCGCTGGTGCTGGCTGCCAGAGAGGGCGGGCCCAGGTGGTGCCAAACACTACAGTGGACTGCTGACCGCAAGGGTGATGGTTTGAATTCACCGGCCGCCTCTCGGAAGAGAGCTGAAGCAGCGTAAACTGTCTTCTCCCTTCCCTGCCAGGCAGTCGGTAACGACTCGCCCTCCCTCCAGTTTCCGAGGCTGTTAAGTTGTCCAGGAAGAGCAGCTGGTGTGTTCAAAGTACCAGAACCACACAATACAGACCACGACATCGGGGCTCCTTCCCGTCCACAGCACCGACATGGAAAGCCTGTGCCAGCCCTCCAGGAGCCGGGTCCACCCAACCATCTGGAAAGGCAAAGCCAAGACAGCAAGAAGTGGCCAGACAGCCAGGGGTGGGGTGCAGGAGAACAGAGCAGGGAGTGACTGTGCAGGACAGGGCTTCCTTCAAGGAGTGACCACACAGGAGGGACCGCCAGCGGTGATGACCCACCACACTAAGTCCCTGCTTGCTGCAAATGCGGGAAGCGGGTGGGAGGTGGCTTAGGGCTGAGACGGTTACAGCTTTTAGAAGGACAGTCCTCAGCTGAGACTGGAGATGGCAAAGGAGAGCTCCCACATCCACGGACACGCTGCCCCGGGGGCCGCCCCGTCCCTGTGTCACCTCAGCACATCCCTCCCTGTGTCCAGACCCCCAGCACCCTCTCCCTGTCCCTCTCTCTCCTTCCAGACTCTCACCCTTAGCTTCGTCTGCACCATCTCATCCACCCTCTGCTTCAGTCCGATGTGTGGATGCCTCCCAAGCCCACAGGTCCAGCCCCTCATGCCCACTGGTCACAGAGGTTCTCAAACTCTCAAGGGTTCTGTCTACACCCGCTGTGCCTCTGCTCCCGGGCATGTTCAGCTCCACATGGCAGTGACCCAAGGCTTACACCAGCTGGTACCTGAGCACCACAATTAATCTCCCAGACCCCCATGTACCCTTCAGTGCGGGCTGGACCCTTTCACGTCTTTGGGTCCTGGACCCACTGCTCTCAGGCTGAGACTGACTCCTGCTGACGCTCCAGCAAGATTCTGAAGGCTGTAAACCCCAAAGGAGGAAACTCTCCTTTTCTCCCTCAGAGCCACTGGTGGATTCGAACCACCTGCCTCTGGGTTGGGAGTGAAATTCCCTACAGATGATGCCACCAGAGCTCGCCATTAAAGTTAAAATGCACAAAGGCAGAAACACCAATCACTGAGGCTGTCACACAGCCCCTACTGCTGGGCCCGGCCAGGGTCACATAGCTGTGATCAGGCCCCAGGACTTAAGCCACCGGCACTGAGTAGCTGCCAGTCCAGGGCACCATTGCAGAGCTCCAAGGCCACCACAGCTGTAGAAGCAGTGTGCCTCCTTCCTTCTGCAGGGCGGCTGGTGGCCTCAAACCGCTGGCCTTCCAGTGAGCTGTCCAGCCCTTTAGCCACGAGGCTCCCAGGGTTCCTGCCGCTGTTGCTAGGTGTCATCGAGTCAAGTACTACTCGCAGTGATCCTGTGGGCAACAGACCTGCGCCCTGTCCTGTCCTGTGTCACCTCATCGTCTCTGACATGACAGACCTGCGACCTGTCCTGTCCTGTGTCACCCATCGTCTAACATAACAGACCTGAGCCCTGTCCTGTGTCACCCATCATCTCTGAGATGACAGAACTGTGACCTGTCCTGTCCTGTGTCACCCCATCGTCTCTGACATGACAGACCTCCGCCCTGTCCTGTCCTGTGTCACCCCATCGTCTCTGACACACTATAGCTCACTGCTGAAGTCACGAGGCCACTCCACCTCATTGAGGGTCTTCGTCTGCTTTGCCTTCCCTCCCTCTCCAAGGAACAGCTTCTCCCAGCAACATGTCCAAAGGATGTGAGTCACCATCTGTGCCTCCAAGGAGCACTCTAGTTGCACTTTGTCTGAGACGTATCTATCTGTCCCCTTTCTTGGCCGTCCGTGGGATGTGTTCTTCTCCAACACCACAGCTCAAAGGCATCTCCCCTTCTCCTGTCATCCTGATTCACTGTCCAGCTCACACATGCACAGCAAGTGACTGAAAAGGCCATGGCCAGAATCAGGTGGACTTAGTCTTCAAACTGACATATCTTCGCTCCTCAGGAATTTGGAGAGGTCTTGCTGGCCCTAAAGCTCGAGAACCTGGAAGTCGGTCTATGAAACAGGCCAGCTGGAGTCCCTGACATTTCGATGGAGGCGGTATGAACGTGGATTTCTCACTCGGGCCTGCAGGTCTCCACTCTCCTATATCTGGGACTTGGATGTTCCATTGTGTCTCTGTCCTCAGGGCGACAGGAGTGTGGTAATGCTCATCTTCAAGGCTCAGCACTCAGGCAGCGGCAGTCCCTCAGCCCACAGCCAGTAGCACCCTGGCACACAGGGCTGGCACAGAGCCTCCTGATGGCAAAAGCGGATGCAGCCTTCCCAGTCAGCAGGGCGAGCTCTGAGGCCTCCCCGGTAGGAAGCGGAGCTGCCAACCCCCAGGCCGTGCCTCTCTGCTTCTTGGAATCCAGCAGTGGGCTCTGGGGGGTCCGAAAGGTGGGCCCTCGAGTTCCAGGCTAGTTGCAGCAGCAGGAAATCTGCTGAATGCTCAGCCAGGAGTCTGTTCCAACTCAACGGCTGTGGGTTTTTAAGTTAGTCAAGGGCTCTGCTGGGTGGCCCTACAGGGGGCTGCTGTCCCAAGGCTGAGCTGCCTGGAGGTTCGCCTGCACCATCGACTCCACAGAGAAAAGACTGGCGACCTCTTACCCACTTTACAGCCGGAATATGACGGAGGGTTAGCTAGGCTTTGAGACCAAGAGAACGGCAGGAAGGCAGGTGAGTTAGCAGCTGGCCAGTGACTCCAGGACAAAGGCTGTGCACCTAAGATCCTGGCACACTCACTGCCCACTGACCTCGGCCCGCAGAGCCAGGTCACAGGCGACTGGCAGCAGGACCAGCGACCTGTGCACGCCCGCCTCCGTGTCCCTGGCCTTTGCCCTGCTGCACCCTGCACTTGCCCCAGAGCCCCAGGGTCTCTGCACTTGCCTCACCTCTATTTCCCCCAGACTCCCAGGGCTCTGCACCAGTTATCCCACTCCTGTTCTGGGGCTCAGCTGTGTCGACACCTGCCGCCTCCCTAGTTCCTTGAGCCCCAGAACTTGGTGCAACTCCCTTCCCAGGACATCCGCAACTTCATGGAGCCCCGGGGCCTCTGCACCCCTGCGCCCTCTTCCCGGAACCCCGGGGCCTCTCCGCCCTGCGCCCTCTTCCCGGAGCCCAGCGCCCCACCCCACGCCCCGGCTAACTCAAGCTCGTGCTGGATCTCGTCCTCCGGCTGGATCTCGTCCTCCGGCTCCGGCTTCGCTCGTCACACGTTGGGAGCTCGATGCACGAGAAGCCGATACACTTGTCGCCTGGACAGCAAGGACATTTATGCCGCCGGCCGCCCCTTTCGGCTTCCGTCCACCCTGCGTCATCGCGCCTCCCCGCCCCTCGTCGCCGGGGTAACACGGGACGCATCGGGTGTAGAGGCTTCTCTGCTGGAGGTCTGTGCGCGTGCGCTACGCTCCTGTCCCCAGAGCCGGCCTGGCTGCGAGTCAAGGCCCGCGGGGCCCCTGTCCACCCTTCCCAGACCTGCGGTCCTGGATCGTCCGTGCGCGCTGGTGACTGAGGGTCGCCTCCGCCTGCGTGCTGGACCCGGAGGGAGAACTGCCCGGGGCGGAGCCACTCAGACCACCTGCAGCCCCACGTGCTTACCCGCGTTGGAGGAGCAGGGTTCTCGCCACTCAGAGACCCCCGCGGGATCGGACTATGGGGTGACCCTAGCTGTAAGGCCCGGTAACCCGTCATTAGCATCTGTTCCGTCCTGTTTCTGATGTCCGTGAAACGCGCCACGACTAGAGTTTTCTTTGCCTGCTAATATTTCCCACCACGGAGTGAGTTCAGGTGACTGAATAAGGAACAGACGTACACTCGTCAGGTGCCATCGAGTCAAAGACGACTCACAGTGACCCTGTGAACAAAAGATCTGAACCCTGTTCTATCTTGCGCCATCATCACACTTCTCGACACACAAGCCCACTGTAGCAGTCATGGT